CTCCTGGGGAACAGGTAGGGGTTCATACACTCCTGGGGAACAGGTAGGGCTTCATACACTCCTGGGTAACAGGTAGGGGTTCATACACTCCTGTGGAACAGGTAGGGGTTCATACACTCCTGGGTAACAGGTAGGGGTTCATACACTCCTGGGTAACAGGTAGGGGTTCATACACTCCTGGGTAACAGGTAGGGGTTCATACACCCCTGGGTAACAGGTAGGGGTTCATACACTCCTGGGTAACAGGTAGAGGCTCATACACTCCTGGGTAACAGGTAGAGGCTCATACACTCCTGGGTAACAGGTAGGGGTTCATACACTCCTGCGGAATAGGTAGGGGTTCATACACTCCTGGGGAACAGGTAGGGGTTCATACACTCCTGGGGAACAGGTAGGGGTTCATACACTCCTGGGGAACAGGTAGGGTTTCATACACTTCTGGGGAACAGGTAGGGCTTCATACACTCCTGGGGAACAGGTAGGGCTTCATACACTCCTGGGGAACAGGTAGGGCTTCATACACTCCTGGGGAACAGGTAGGGCTTCATACACTCCTGGGGAACAGGTAGGGCTTCATACACTCCTGGGTAACAGGTAGGGCTTCATACACTCCTGGGGAACAGGTAGGGCTTCATACACTCCTGGGGAACAGGTAGGGGATCATACACTCCTGGGGAACAGGTAGGGGTTCATACACTCCTGGGGAACAGGTAGGGCTTCATACACTCCTGGGGAACAGGTAGGGCTTCATACACTCCTGGGTAACAGGTAGGGGGTTCATACACTCCTGGGTAACAGGTAGGGGATCATACACTCCTGGGTAACAGGTAGGGGTTCATACACTCCTGGGGAACAGGTAGGAGTTCATACACTCCTGGGTAACAGTAGGGTTCATAACACTCCTGGGTAACAGGTAGGGGTTCATACACTCCTGGGAACAGGTAGGGGTCATACACTCCTAGGGAACAGGTAGGGGTTCATACACTCCTGGGGAACAGGTAGGGCTTCATACACTCCTGGGGAACAGGTAGGGGTTCATACACTTCTGAGGAACAGGTAGGGGTTCATACACCTCTGGGGAAAAGGTAGGGCTTCATACACTCCTGGGGAACAGGTAGGGCTTCATACACTCCTGGGGAACAGGTAGGGCTTCATACACTCCTGGGAACAGTAGGGTTCATACACTCCTGGGTAACAGGTAGGGGTTTCATACACTCCTGGTAACAGGTAGGGTTCATACACTCCTGGGTAACAGGTAGGGGTTCATACACTCCTGGGTAACAGGTAGGGGTTCATACACTCCTGGGGAACAGGTAGGGGTTCACACACTCCTGGGGAACAGGTAGGGGTTCATACACTCCTGAGGAACAGGTAGGGGTTCATACACTCCTGGGGAACAGGTAGGGGTTCATACACTCCTGGGGAACAGGTAGGGGTTCATACACTCCTGGGGAACAGGTAGGGCTTCATACACTCCTGGGGAACAGGTAGGGGTTCATACACTCCTGGGTAACAGGTAGGGCTTCATACACTCCTGGGGAACAGGTAGGGGTTCATACACTCCTGGGTAACAGGTAGGGGTTCATACACTCCTGGGTAACAGGTAGGGCTTCATACACTCCTGGGGAACAGGTAGGGGTTCATACACTCCTGGGGAACAGGTAGGGGTTCATACACTCCTGGGGAACAGGTAGGGGTTCATACACTCCTGGGTAACAGGTAGGGTTCATACACTCCTGTGGGTAACAGGTAGGGCTTCATACACTCCTGGGGAACAGGTAGGGGTTCATACACTCCTGGATAACAGGTAGGGGTTCATACACTCCTGGGTAACAGGTAGGGCTTCATACACTCCTGGGGAACAGGTAGGGGTTCATACACTCCTGGGTAACAGGTAGGGGTTCATACACTCCTGGGGAACAGGTAGGGGTTCATACACTCCTGGGGAACAGGTAGGGGTTCATACACTCCTGGGTAACAGGTAGGGGTTCATACACTCCTGGGTAACAGGTAGGGGTTCATACACTCCTGGGTAACAGGTAGGGCTTCATACACTCCTGGGGAACAGGTAGGGGTTCATACACTCCTGGGGAACAGGTAGGGGTTCATACACTCCTGGGGAACAGGTAGGGGTTCATACACTCCTGGGGAACAGGTAGGGGTTCATACACTCCTGGGTAATAGGTAGGGGTTCATACACTCCTGGGTAACAGGTAGGGGTTCATACACTCCTGGGTAACAGGTAGGGGTTCATACACTCCTGGGTAACAGGTAGGGCTTCATACACTCCTGGGGAACAGGTAGGGGTTCATACACTCCTGGGTAACAGGTAGGGCTTCATACACTCCTGGGAACAGGTAGGGGTTCATACACTCCTGGGTAACAGGTAGGGTTCATACACTCCTGGGTAACAGGTAGGCTTCATACACTCCTGGGGAACAGGTAGGGTTCATACACTCCTGGGAACAGGTAGGGGTTCATACACTCCTGGGGAACAGGTAGGGGTTCATACACTCCTGGGTAACAGGTAGGGGTTCATACACTCCTGGGTAACAGGTAGGGCTTCATACACTCCTGGGAGACAGGTAGGGGTTCATACACTCCTGGGTAACAGGTAGGGGTTCATACACTCCTGGGTAACAGGTAGGGCTTCATACACTCCTGGGGAACAGGTAGGGGTTCATACACTCCTGGGGAACAGGTAGGGGTTCATACACTCCTGGGTAACAGGTAGGGGTTCATACACTCCTGGGTAACAGGTAGGGTTCATACACTCCTGGGAACAGGTAGGGGTTCATACACTCCTGGTAACAGGTAGGGGTTCATACACTCCTGGGTAACAGGTAGGGGTTCATACACTCCTGGGTAACAGGTAGGGCTTCATACACTCCTGGGAACAGGTAGGGGTTCATACACTCCTGGGGAACAGGTAGGGGTTCATACACTCCTGGGAACAGGTAGGGGTTCATACACTCCTGGGAACAGGTAGGTTCATACACTCCTGGTAACAGGTAGGGGTTCATACACTCCTGGGTAACAGGTAGGGGTTCATACACTCCTGGGTAACAGGTAGGGGTTCATACACTCCTGGGTAACAGGTAGGGGTTCATACACTCCTGGGTAACAGGTAGGGGTTCATACACTCCTGGGTAACAGGTAGGGCTTCATACACTCCTGGGGAACAGGTAGGGGTTCATACACTCCTGGGGAACAGGTAGGGGTTCATACACTCCTGGGGAACAGGTAGGGGTTCATACACTCCTGGGTAACAGGTAGGGCTTCATACACTCCTGGGTAACAGGAGGAACTCAGGCAAAGAAATACATTTATTAACAAGATAATAAATTGTATAAGAGATTGAATGATGAAGGCCATAATAATGCAAAACAACTCAAACAAACTTAAATAAAATAATGAATAGAATAGTTAAGGTTGGATTATGTACCTGTACAGTGTAAATTAAGTTACATTAAGATGTGATAATTGTGTGAAGGTCTTGTAAGTAAAAAAAAAAACATTTTATTACAACAAGAAATATTTGATTATGGAAATGAACAAATGTCTTGCTTTAGTTGCATGGAGATGAGGTAATTAAGTACAGAATAAGATTAGATAGATAAGATTTTGTTTGGATTTTTAGCCCTGGAGGTTTAGCCACCCAAGAAAGTCAGTGCATCATCGAGGATTGTCTGTCCTACTTCCATTGGAGTCCTTAACCCCTTTCCGGGTTTCCGACGTACTAGTACGACTTACGTGCCAGGGTTATTGACGTACTAGTACGCGTAAATTCTAACGCCTTCAACTCAAGCGAGAGAAACCTGGTATTTCTATGTAGGAAAGAATGGGTCTTGTGTGGTCAGTGTGCACAGTATAAAAGAAATCCTGCAGCACACAGTGTATAATGAGAAAAATAAAACTGACCGTGTTTTTAGTTTAAAACGGTGACTTTGCACTGTATTTTCGTATGGTATTTATGGTTGTATTCTAGTTTTCCTAGTCTCATTTTATAGAATGGAAGACATATTACAGAAATTGAAATGATTTTGATTGGTTTCACAATGAAAAGTACCTTGAAATTGAGCTCAAAGTAGCAGAAATGTTTGATTTTTGCCAAAGTTCAAAAGTAAACAAAACAAATGCCAAGCATCCAATACATGTCAATTTGTGAGTCTAATATTCTTTCACAAGTGCGTTGATATTATTTATACCATTTCTACACTAATGCAGTAGTCTGCATAAAAGTAAATCTTCTATTTTTTATGAGAATAAAAATTCGAAGTGGAAAGCAAAAGAGATATAAGAGGGGCCTGAGGACATGACTAATGAACAGAGGAAATGTTATTTTAGTGCCAGGAATGTCTGTCTTGTTTATTCTGGACCCTATTTGGAAATTGCCATCTTTTGAAATTTGTGTGAAATTGGCAAAATTGCCAATTTCTGACCACTTTATTGGACAATTGAAATTGATAAATGGGTGGTTTTGTGTACTCATTCGATAGAAAAAATGGAGTTCTAGCAAAATAGTTGTGATTTTTGTCGACTAATACACTGGAATTGGCCAAAAATAGGGCTCAAAGTGGGCAATGTGTAAGCCACTGGGCCAACTGGCTACAATAAGATTCATCCAGCTAGGTATATTTATACACCATAGAGAAGGTAGCACAGGCCCCACTGTGACCACAAATGCAAGTTTTTACAGATGAATCTCCCGCCACAGCCACGCTGGCGGGAGACTCACGCTAGTAGTAGTTTACACTTAAATGAGTTATGACTCACAAAATCGTACTAACACAATTGTCATAATCACAGCTTTAAGAGGACTGAGCTAGTTTGTTACAGCCACACTGACAAGAGATTCATCTGTTAAAACTTGCATTTGTGGGGTCTGTGCTAACCTCTCTATGGTGTATAAATATACCTAGTTGGATAAATCTTATTGTAGCCAGCTGGCCCAGTCAGTGGCTTACCTACCTGGAGTCTATCTGGAGGGTATTCCAGAGATCAATGTCCCCTCAGCGTGGTCCCTGACCAGGCCTCCCAGTAGATCAGGGCCTGATCAACGAGGCTGTTACTGCTGGCTGCACATAGTGTAAAAACCACAGCCCGGCTGGTCCGGTACTGACTTTAGGTATCTGTCCAGCTCCCTCTTGAAGACAACTAGGCCAGGCCAGCTTACTCGCTCCTCACGAATTCAATCCCCACCCATGGTATGGTTTGTTTGCATTCGTGTCATTTTGATTTCATGAATCAAAACGTGTGTGTTTTAATAGCAGTGTTAAAACAATGGGACAGTAACATAAAATGGAAAAAAATTGTAAGAGGAATGCATGAGTGTGAAGGGTGGGGGGAAAGCTTGATAGACAGCATGCTGGAGATGTTAGACATTTATATTCATTTATTATAAATCATATAAAGTTTAGGAAGTGCTCTTTAACAGTATTTTTGAGGCTGTTGGCAGATGGGGAACTTATAGAATTGGGTTTGATCTGAAGGGAAGGGTAGCTCCAGTTCCTTGGATTAAGATTCCATCACCAGCATCAAGAGACCCTCTTCCTATCCCTTGGAGATTAATTTTATCAATCATTTCCTCAGTAACTAGTGAAAAATTGCAGTACTGTACGTTGTATATGTCTACAGCTCGATGGCACAGTTCAGTAACAAACAGTCCTGGTCGCTTGGACAGTGGTGGATCCTTCCAAGTGAACCTGACAGCTTGGTGCAACACTGGGTGTTCCTGCTCCTCCGCACTTGTGGAACCTGTGTGTGGCAATAATGGACTCACCTATTTCTCTCCATGTCATGCTGGCTGCACATCTTACTCTCCACAACACAAATTTGCAAACTGTACATGTAAGTTCAGATTTTCAATATTGTTTCAACAAAGTAGAGAATTTTCTTTTCACTGCTTTACTGTATTTTATGATGATTGTATGACTTATTGTAAAAGTGTTACTGGGAGGTGTGTTACTTGGGAGTTTAACTATATTTTAAATCAAAAAGGTATAGAATAACACCCAATATCTGATACTAGAGAATGCAGAAACATTTCAAAAATTCATTGTTCAAAGCAATAAGGAAATAATTGGCAGTATTATATTTTTTCATATGCATACAGTGGAACCTTGCCTTACGAGTGCCCCACCACACGAGTTTTTCAGGATACAAGCAGTAGCTCTGTAGATTTTTTGTTTCTGGATACAAGCAAAAATTCAGGATGCAAGCTTCCCCCTCAAACAACTTTTTTTTTTTTTTTTTTTTTTTTTTTTTTTTTTTTTTTTTTTAGACCTCCAGATCTTACAAAAGTAAAAGTGAACATATAATTATAAGTAGTTCATTGTCGTGTTGTATTATGTTGTTTTTACCGCTTAAGAATATAACTGCAACAGAAATAATAAGTATTTCATACCTAAAATTGTGGGTGCTGGTGTTTGTGGATGATTGTGAAGTGTATGTGTGCTCAAATTGTAATAAATAAATAAATAAATAAAAGGAGTGGAGAGTTATCCTGTGGTCCTACTGGGCTGAGGTGGATGGTAGAGGTTCTGGTACTGAAGTCGATGGTTGTACTGTAGTGTGCATAAATTCTGTAATGGATTTCTGTTCTATTTTACCCTGAAGTACATTATACAACTGATGGTAAGGCATCAGCTGCTCTAGACAATGTTTCAGGGTCCTCTTCAGTGAAAAAGTCTAACTTTAAATCATTCAGTCAGTCAGTAAGTCATTCAACAACACTGGTATGCCTACTGGGTGTCATGATTGCTTGGCAGATACAAGATATAGTAATTAAAAGATCAAAACACAATTCACAAACACAGCTAGCTTGTAGGAGAGAAGTGGAACTGAACACACAAGCTGGGATGGTGGTGACGGGAGTGTTGGGGGATGGCGGGAGGTCTCCTCCACTGACCCACAACAAGGCAGCTGCTTGAGGTAGGGAATGGCCACCACCACTTGTCACATAATGACATATTTTATTAATTCTAGAGTATATATGAGGATTCTATATTATTTATATTGTTTAATATGTCATATTAGATAAATTTTGACAGATAAATAAGCCATAGTCGATATTAGCATCATATTCCTGCCTCCTGAGAGCAGGAATTCTGCTGGACCGGATTAATGGCATTTCAATTAATTTAAATGAGGAAAATTGACTCGGCATACGAGCAGATTGAGATACGTACTAGCAAGGTCACGGATCGGATTAAACTCGTAAGCTGAAGTTCCACTGTGTATTTTATGGCCTATGGGATCCAATGCCTTGATGTGACATCAGTCATGGAGTGTGTTTTATCCTAACTTCTTGATCTCTCTTCCTCAAGCAGTCAAACAAAAAAAACATCACTCTTGGATATTCCTAGTGCATTTTGTTGTGATTGATTGGGGTTTATTCTTTTTATACAAATTGCACTTTTATAAAAATGTTTTAATAAGAAAAGTGTTACTTTTTGTGTGAAGACATCCAAGTATAAATTGTCATGGGAGAATATGGAAAAAATTTTTGTTTAACATAATTTCCTCGAAGCTAAGTTTTTGTGGCATACATCCATTATCATGAAGCAGGTGCCTTTACTACTGTTCCCTTACTAACTGTTCTTATGTTCTTAACTAATTTATATATGTATTATAAATACTGTGGAATACTATAATAAGTGTACTGTTATTTTGACAGGCATACTTGGTGAAAGAAACCATTCTTCTCCATTTGCATCAAGCTCTTCCTCAGCAGTGATAGTTGGAGGGTTTTCTGAAGTGACTGTAGTTCCTGTAGCAACTGCTGGTCCATGTTATATCCCCTGTAACACCATCATGCCCTTCATGATCCTGCTCTTCTTCATGTGTACTGTTGTTGCTATAAGCCAGATGCCACTCCTCATGATTGTTCTCAGGTTAGTGCCTAGCAAATTGCTGTTGTAAGCACAAATCAGCAGTGTTACTACTATAATACAGTAGGGCTCCCGCTTTATGGTGTTTCACCTTACGGCGTTCCGCTAATATGGCGATTTCAAATTGACCAAAACTCGCTATACGGCTCCCCATCCAATACGGCGCATGCCACCCGGTTTGTTTACATTCTCCATGAGCACTCTCTCTCTCCATTATGTTTGCAAACTTTCCTCAATTTCAAGTGTTTTAAAGTTTTTTTTTTTTTTTCAACAAACCGGTCGTATCCCACCAAGGCAGGGTGGCCCAAAAAGAAAAATGAAAGTTTTTCTTTTTAAATTTAGTAATTTATACAAGAGAAGGGGTTACTAGCCCCTTGCCCCTGGCATTTTAGTCGCCTCTTGCAACATGCATGGCTTACGGAGGAAGAATTCTGTTCCACTTCCCCATGGAGATAGGAAATAAACAAGAACTAGAAAGAAAATAGAAGAATACCTAGAGGGGTGTGTATATATATGCTTGTACATGTTTGTGTAGTGTGACCTAAGTGTAAGTAGAAGTAGCAAGACATACCTGAAATCTTGCATGTTTATGAGACAGAAAAGAGACACCAGCAATCCTACCATCATGTAAAACAATAAGTCCTTTCATATTTTATTTATTTATTTTTTTCAACATGTTGGTTGTCTCCCACCAAGGTAGGGTGACCCAAAAAGAAAGAAAAAAATCCCCAAAAAGAAAATACTTTCATCATCATTGAACACTTTCACCTCACTTATACATAATCAGTCTTTGGAGAGGCACCCAGATACAACAGTTTAGAAGCATATATAAAGATATATAGCATATCCCTCCAAATTGCCAATATCCCAAACCCTTCCTTTAAGGTTGGTGGTCAAAATTTCAGCCAACTTTATTTTTCAACCAATTTTTTTTATTTTTGGTGTACGTTTAGAGGTTCATATGTAGAAGAATGTGACAAAGTTTCAGTATGATTGGCCAACAAACAACAGAGAAAAAAAAATATTTAATGACTTTTCATATATGGCAGCAAGGCATGACAAAATGGCACTACGAGTGGCAATCCCAACCGACAATCCCAACCGTTAGAATACGTCTGACACGAATTTTGGATGCAAATGTTTCATCTAATATGTCTTATTATCATGGGAAAAAAAAATACATTTGATAGACTTTTTGGCATTCACCAAAATATCTGCCTTTTACCTCCTACAAAATAAAAAATTTGATATATTCCAAAAAAAAAGAAGCACCAACTAGTCACACACTTTGTTTTATATTGTCTGTGAAAATCATTTCAATACAATCATTAATAATGGTGTAGGTAAGCGAAATAAGTGAAAGTTACTTCCGAGATATAGGCCTGGAATGCCTGCCGGCCTGCCGTCTCAAAAAAAAAAAAAAAAAAATTCGTGAAAATCGCGTTTGTTTCAGTGGTTTTCTAAGTAAACTGATGCTCTAGTGCAGTTATCCTCTTCAAAATACCGTTTTCAATCACTCACAGACCAAACAATACAACAAGGAGACGAGTAACTCATTTATATCGAAATATTGCTTGTGGACTCTCGCCATGTTATGGCCTATTTTATTCAGTCTAGAGTATATAACATGTTTGTTTGTTATTTATAGTGTTTATTATATATTAGATCAATTCTGATAGATAAATAAGCCGTATAGTTGATATATAAGCGTAATAATGAAGTGATTTCACCTGGCACCATCTGGAGGGGGAGTACTGCTGAGTGTTCTCAGATGGCTCCTGATTGGCTGGCACTCTACTGATAAGCTCCACCTACTCTTATATGATGCCAAATAATCAATTATTATATTAGAAAGAATAATGCAAAGAAAAAGCGATAAAAAACAAGGAAAAAATTCCAAAAAATACATGGGTTGAGAACAGACGTGCTACCTACATCGCCGTTACCATACCTGATATAAATGACTATAATTTCTTGTAGAAACGTCTTAGAACATTGATTCTTGTACCATTGTGTTGCCAAAGAGTTAAGCTATTTTTCTATATGAATAAATCAATTTCCATAATTTTTCAATTTTTTCTTGAGAGCGCGCTGAAAATTTCCCACCCATCCTTAAAGTGCAGGCATTGTATATCCCATTTCCAGGACTCAAGTTTGTCTAACCGGTTTTCCCGAGTCCCTTCACAAAATATTACCCTGCTCACTCTTCAACAGCTCGTCAGGTCCTAAAAACCATTAGTCTTCATTCACTCCTATCTAACATGCTTATGCATGCTTGCTGGAAATCCAAGCCCCTTGCCCACAAAACTTCCTTTACCTCCCTCTCTCCAACCTTTTATACACTCTTCAAGTCATTCTTTGTTCCATTCTCTCTAAATGACCAAACCACCCCAAGAGCCCCTTTTCAGCCCTCTGACTAATACCTTTGGTAACTCCACACCTCCTCCTAATTTCCACACTATGAATTCTGTGCTTAATATTTACACCACACATTGCCCTTAGACATGACATCTCCACTGCCTCCAGCCGCCTCCTCGCTGCAACATTTACAACCCAAGCTTCACACCCGTATGTGTGTGTTGGTACCACTGTACTCTCATACATTCCCTTCTTTGCCTCCATGGATAATGTTCTTTGTCTTCACAGATACCTCAATGCACTACTCTCCTTTTCTTCATCAGTTCTATGGTTAGCCTCATAAACCCATCTGCTGACAAGTCAACTCCCAAGTATCTGAAAACATTCACCTCTTCCATACTCCCTCCCTCCAATTTGATATCCAATTTTTGTTTGTCTAAATCATTTGATGTCCTCATCACCTTATTCTTATCTATGTTCACTTTCAACTTTCTACCTTTACACACCCTCCCAAATTCTTCCACTAACCTTTTTCAACTTTTCTTTAGAATCTCCCATATGCATAGTATCATCAGCAGAAAGTAACTGTATCAGTGCCCATTTTGTATTTGATTACCCATAATTTAATACCACCCCTCTCCTCAACAACCTAGCATTTACTTCTTTTACAACCCCATCTCTAAATATGTTAAACAACCATGGTGACATTACACATCCTGGGAAGTAATCTCCCCCTTTTCTACACACCCTAACCTGAGCCACACTACGTATTCTTATTTCATTATCATATACTTGTAATAATAATTTTGCTTGGAGGTTGCCCAAAATGCTTTGCATGTTAAGGGGCTTTGTGTAATTTATTTTTTTTTTTCCCCCAACAAGTCGGCCGTCTCCCACCGAGGCAGGGTGACCCAAAAAAAGAAAGAAAATCCCCAAAAAGAAAATACTTTCATCATCATTCAATACTTTCACCACACTCACACATTATCACTGTTTTTGCAGAGGTGCTCAGAATACAACAGTTTAGAAGCATATACGTATAAAGATACACAACATATCCCTCCAAACTGCCAATATCCCAAACCCCTCCTTTAAAGTGCAGGCATTGTACTTCCCATTTCCAGGACTCAAGTCTGACTATATGAAAATAACTGGTTTCCCTGAATCCCTTCACTAAATATTACCCTGCTCACACTCCAACAGATCGTCAGGTCCCAAGTACCATTCGTCTCCATTCACTCCTATCTAACACGCTCATGCACGCTTGCTGGAAATCATATACATATAATATACAATACTCCACTTTGTAGAATTAAAATTTGTTTGTAGGCTTCACTGCCAGCCAACATAAGTAGAACTAACCTTGTGGATTGTATTACAACAATGTAGGATCACGTTCTGTGCATAAAAAAGAAGGGCACCATTGATTAGGCACTCGGAGGAACCTTTGTATACTTACAATGAGGCAAAGTGGATAAAGTGTGGCTTCACAAGTGTCCATGGTTATTCTGTTCCTCCTGAGGAAAGCAACAAGATAGTGGAATTCTGGCACACAGTATACTGTACATTGATCAGCAGGGTGATTGTAGAAGAATATTGCAACTTTCATCAAATCAAATTGCTCTAATATGGTTTCCAATAGTGTTTGCTTTTTAGATATACAAGGAACTTGTGCATTATTTAATAATTAAGGTACTAGAAAATATGCACTGTACAGTGCTCCTTTATTATGAAATAATCTGCATAAACTTTGTAAATCAAGTAATTTATGTTGCAGGTCTGTGGATGAGGAGGAAAGGTCCTTTGCTCTTGGTGTGCAGTTTGTGATCTTTCGTCTTATTGCTTATATCCCAGCACCAATCATGTTTGGCTCAGTGATCGACTCTACCTGTCTCCTCTGGAAGAGTTCATGTGGAGAAAAAGGAGGACGCTGTCTCATATATGACATTGAGCAATTCAGATTCAGGTATGTAGAAGTTATTTTAGTAATGCTGAAACTGTTATATACCATAGGGTATTTTGTAGCTTTGTTATTTCTGTTAGAATGTATGCCATATTCTGTATAGCACTGTATAAAAATGTGTGTGGATGAGTGTGAGTAAATGCGAATGTGAGTGGGCGAGTTAGTTCTAAGGCCTGCCTATTTGCAATGTCAGGAATATACAGTATGTATGTCATACCCAAACTTCCCCATGACATTAAGTTTATTTATTTAGGTTTTGGGTATATCATAATTTTTTTTTTTACAATGGGCTTTAGGGCATAAGGTTATGGGCACATCAAAAGTACATTTTATGAACTTCATCTAGGATAACCCTGTAAAAGTCAAACAAACACTATTGATTTGAATGTCTATGCCTATTACAGCTGCTTTATCCATTTCTACACATTTCAAGATCAACAAGTAATGACATCTACAATAAAAGTGTCAAAATTTGTTATTAGTTTTGAAGAATTAAGAATCTAAAACCTTTTCTCATTTTTTGGGGACGTGTCGGGAATGCAACCCAATTTTTCCAGTATGTTCCTACTCGTCATGGTTTTTTTTTTTTCATGGATGTCTAATGTCATCATGGTTGTTTAACATATTTATAGATAGGGATGTAAAAGAAGTAAATGCTGGGGTGTTGGGGAGAGGGACGAGATTAAAGTGTGGGGAGTCGAAAACAGTAGGGCCCTTCTTATATGGCAGGTTAAGTTCCAAGCTACTGCCGGAGAGGAGGACACCCTTTTTTTCCTCGCTTATAAATGCATATAAATGCCAGATAAGAAGTTTACACTAACATATATTAAGTTAGCAATAAAACTAGGCATTAAAAACAATAAAAACAGTGTACACAGGACACTCATTACTTACCTTAAATATTTGTACTCTTGTGTAGGGTGAGATGTGAGTAGTATTTATTGTAAGAAGTCAGGTGTGGGGAGGTATGGTAGCCCACCTGGCCACCCTACCTACATTTAATATGACATTTAATGCGCCCCAGAGGATTAAAATGCACATGCAGTACACTCGTTATTTACCTTAACCCGTAAATGGTCCAAGCAGATCTACGTTCACATGTGTAGTGCTACGAAAGTAGATCTACGTTTTTTTACATATTTTCAAATTTAACAAAAAAAAAACAAGATCTACTTTTTTTTACATACTTTCAAATGTTGAAAAAACGTATATATACGTTTGGACCGTTTATGGGTTAAAATACAGCCTCTCCTCACTTAACAACGGAGTTCCGTTCCTAAGACCACGTCTGTATATGAATTCGTCGCTAAGTGAGGAGCATACTACGTGTATACATAATGGCAGTGGGTTTGTGTCAGTCATCTTTGATATTGTTTTAATATTGCCTTTGCACCATTTATAACATTTCTGGCATAATTTTTAAATGTTTATACAGTAGTATACTGTATGTTGTAATAAACAGAATAGAGGAAATCAGCTCTGATATACATTATTTAGGTACACACACACTGGTCAAAGAGCTTGTCATAAGTCCGAGTTGTCGGTAAACAATTACACCGCTAAGTGAGGAGAGGCTGTATTTATAGTCTTAAGGTTGGGTGAGAGGTGAGGTGAGTAAATGAGAAAAAAATAATAAATGAGAGAGAGAATGAGAGAGGAATGGAGAGAGAGAGAATGAGAGAGAGAGAGAATGAGAGAGAGAGAGAATGAAGAGAGAGAAAATGAGAGATGAGAAGAGAATGAAGAGAATGAAGAGAGAGAATGAGAGAGAGAGAGAATGAGAGAGAGAGAGAATGAGAGAGAGAGAGAATGAGAGAGAGAGAGAATGAGAGAGAGAGAGAGAATGAGAGAGAGAGAGAATGAGAGAGAGAGAGAAATGAGAGAGAGAGAGAATGAGAGAGAGAGAGAGAATGAGAGAGAGAGAGAATGAGAGAGAGAGAGAATGAGAGAGAGAGAGAATGAGAGAGAGAGAGAATGAGAGAGAGAGAGAATGGAGAGAGAATGAGAGAGAGAATGAGAGAGGAGATGAGAGAATGAGAGAAGAGAGAGAATGAGAGAGAGAGAGAATGAGAGAGAGAGAGAATGAGAGAGAGAGAGAATGAGAGAGAGAGAGAAAGAGAGAGAGAGAGAGAAAGAGAGAGAGAATGAGAGAGAGAGAGAATGAGAGAGAGAGAGAATGAGAGAGAGAGAGAATGAGAGAGAGAGAGAGAATGAGAGAGAGAATGAGAGAGAGAATGCAGACCAGCTAGCAGCACCTCTAACTCGCATCTTTCAGCACTGCCTAGTACAGTGTAAATGGCCTTCTCTATGGAAAGAGGCAAATGTAGTCCCTGTTCACAAAAAAAAGAGCAGAGCAGAAATCAGCAACTACAGACCAGTGTCACTCCTGTCAATCACTGGTAAGATCCTTGAGACAATAATCTCAAGACAAATGACAGAGTTTTTTGACTACCACTCACTACTTTGTGATCGTCAATATGGCTTCAGGAAAGGTTACTCTGCTGCTGATCTGTTGTTAAACCTCTCCACTAAGTGGCACCAGTCACTGGATGAATCCAAAGTCAGCTGTGTGGTAGCACTGGACATTGCTGGCGCTTTCGACCGGGTGTGGCACCAGGGCTTCTTAGCAAAACTTCAAGCACTGGGAATTGCAGGCTCTACGCTATGTCTCCTCAGTGATTACCTTCATGGTAGATCTCTAAGTGTAGTTCTCAATGGAACGGAATCAGCAAGACATCCTATTGGGGCAAGTGTTCCATGAGGAAGCGTGCTGGGTCCATTGTTATGGAATGTCTACTTCAGCGACCTTCTTCATCTCATCCCAGAATCACATGCATATGCAGACGACTGTACACTGACATTCACTTATCCAAGAGAAGAAATGCCAGCTGCTCTAAGCTACATCAATCACCAGCTGAGAGCTATATCAGCTTGGGGAAATAGATGGCAAGTAACATTTGCACCTGAGAAAACGCAAATGATGATAGTCTCTAGGCACCATGATGGTTATGCTGGTGCAGTAGTAAGTATGAATGGGAGGGTGTTGGCACCTGGAGAAGAAGTTGATATCCTTGGGGTGAAATTTGACTCCAAACTAATCATGAAGAACCATGTTGTAAATCTTGCAAACAAGGCAGCCAGGAAGCTTACAGCACTTCGCTGTATCTCGCATCTGCTTGACAGTAGGGGTTGCAAGATCCTGTACGAGGCGCAAGTACGCTCACACCTTGAGTATGCTCCACTTTCTTGGTTTGCCTGCCCCCCCCTCTCATCTGCGACTGCTTGACAGAGTAGAGAACAGAGCAAGACGTCTCATCTCTCGCCTGGACCCATCCTGGATAGATCTGTCATTTCAGAAGAGCCTTCAACATAGGAGGGATGTGGGTGGCCTTACAAGGCCAATATTGTCAAAATACCACACTTGGATCCACTTCGAGGACAGCGTGAAACAAGCTTTTATGCCACAAGATGGGCAGAAAGCAGCAACTTCACTCTGGCTGTACCCTTCTCCAGAACATCACTCCATCTGAGATCATACATACCCAGGATGACTCGAGTATGGAACACATTCGTACAGCATAATGATGTCAATGAGATAGTTGATCAAATGAAAATGCTGGCCCACAGATGGCTCCAACTTCATCCTGTTCCCTACTTGTATGTCTCTTAACAATAAAAATGCTTTCAAATGAGCTGATGTAGGTAACAGCTCTTAGCTTGCCAATAAAGTTAGGAATCCTTAACCTGTAAATAGCTTGTCAATAAAGCTAGGGATCCTTAACCTTGTCAAACCCCGTGTAAAAAAAAAAAAAAAAAAAAAAAAAAAAAGAATGAGAGAGAGAGAGAGGACAGACGCAGAATCTGTAAACAAGCAGACGAACCCATCTGCTTATGGTTGACACATATCCATTTCAATGTTCGTGAAGCTTATATCATAATACAAACACCTTACATTGTGTACAAGTTGTCTCCACGTAGTACAGTAGAATAAATAAAGAGCAACAATCCCAGTCTCGTGTAACACCATTTTAAGAAGGAATGATGCTCCGAGTGAAGGCATACAAAAGGAATGATTTTCTACAGTTATCCCTAGTAATACTATTGTGTACACATTTTCTTTGGTGTTGAACTAGAGAAAATGTTATTCTTTCCAACACTTCAGCAAGCCAACTGGAAAAAATCTCACATTCATCATGTTTATATTTTACATAGTGTGTTTATTATATAATTTTGAAAAAAATATCATAGGTGGATTAATGAATGTCTATATTAATGTAATAAATGACATTTGGTCTTTGGGAGGACCATGATGGAGTGAATGATGGTGAAAGTGTCTATTTTGGGCCAGCGTGTTAAAAAAAAAAAAATTGACGAGGGGAAAAAGGAGTCTGTGGAGACAAAGAACTTTGTCCATGAAAGCAGAGAGGAATGTATAAGAGTCTAGTTATACCAGTGCTCTTATATAGGCATGAATAATGGGTGGTGAATGTTGCAACAAGAAGCCTGGAGGCAGTGGAGATGTCACGTCTGAAGGCAGTGTGGTGTGAATATAATGCAGAGAATTCGTAGTTTGAAAATTAGGAGGAGGTGCGAAATTTCCAAAACTATTATCCAGAGGGCTGAGGAGGGGTTGTTGACGTGGTTTGGACATGTGACTTCGAGTGTATAAATCTTTAGTGGAGGGAAGATGGGGTAGAGGGCAGCCTAGGAAAGGTTGGAGGGAGGGGATAAAGGAGGTTTTGTGTGCAAGGGGCTTGGACTTCCAGCAAGCATGCGTGAGTGTGTTAGGTAGGAGTGAATGGAGACAAATGGTTTTTAGATACTGTTGGAGTGTGAGCAGGGTAGTAATTTATGAAGGAATTCAGGGAAACCAGCAGGCCAGCCTTGAGTCCTGGAATTGGGAAGTACAGTGCCTACACTCTGAAGGAGGGGTGTTAATGTTGCCATTTTATAACTAGTGTAAGCATGCCTCTGGCAAGACAGTGATGTGAATGATGGTGAAAGTTTTTCTTTTTCGGGCCACCCTTCCTTGGAGGGAAATGGCCGATGTATTAATAAAATAATAAATAATTCTGTATTGAAATACAAGCAATTAATCTTTTGCAGGTACGTGGGAATATGCACTGCGATCAAAATAATTTCTGCTGCAATATTTGTATTTGATTGGCTCTTAATTCGCTGGAAGTACAAGCTTGATATGGAGGGGACCATGACAGTAGGAGATATTGTCAATTCTCTCATGTCAGTTGACAAAGATGTAGATGAACCTTCTGATGAACTTGAGGAGAGTGTGTGGCTTCCTGAGCTTCAGGGTTCTCAGCAAGCACCTGCCTCAGGTACTTGTCAGTCTACCTCAGCAACTGGTGTGACATCCACTACCACTACAGCTCATCATCATCATCATCACAGACGGAATGGTTCACTTATTAATCGAGCACAGTTACCTACTCATGGCTCTGGTAAGTTGGACTGGGGTGTGTGCATTAACAACTGTATTCTTGTAAAATGAGTTTGAACTCCTGAGCTCTGCCTTGTTAGTGTTAATAGACTGGTGTAATAATTCACCACTACAGTAGGGCCCCACTTATATGGCAGGTTAGGCTCCAGGCTACTGCCTTAAAGCGGAACGCTTTTTATTTTCTTTCCGCTTATAAATGCCAAACAGCAAGTTTACACTGACTTAATATATATTAAGTTAGTAATAGAACTAGGCATTAAAAAACACAAGTAAAATACACACAGCACACCCATTACTTAAAGTATTTTGTAGTCTTAATGTAGGGTAAGAGGTGAGTGGTATTTATTTGTAGGAAGTCAGGTGTTGGAAGCATGGTAGCCAGCCAGGGCAGCCCACCCCCACCCCACGTAATATGAGACATTTAAAGTGCCCCAGAGTGATAAAATACATATTCAATACATTCATTAACCCTTTCACTGTCAGCCCTCATAACAAACCTGCTCTCATTGTTGAAAAATATTAAAAAAAAAAGTTTCTTACCAAAATCTTAAGAATAATTTTCTGAGTGGTTTTAAAAAAAAAAATTGCGATCAGTAGTTACTGAGATACAGAAGCGTGAAGTTGACAAAGTGAACCTCTTACGGCAACATCCGTGACTGCCTCTCACTTGGTAATATTATTTTTACTTTTATTCTATTTTTTCTTTTCTAATATTTTATTTTTTGAAGTAACTTTTGTGGCCTGTGAGTCCAGTATGATGCATAATGAATATATGTCCACTTGTTGTATGCAACACAATAACTGCACAAACATTATCATCATTATAATGTTTACCTAACTTGTTTACACAAACCCATGCTACCCTCCACACTCACACCATCTTCCCCCACCACCCATGCTGGAAATAAGACACTTTGACTTTTTGGGTTATCCTAGGTTCTCTACACATGCTGCTATGTATAATAATCTATATAACTGTATTTGTGCATACCTGAATAAACTTTCACACAGTCTTCCCAACCACCCACACCATCTTCCCCACTAGGTATGCTGCCTTCCCCACCACCCAAGCTGCCATCTCCAACACCCAAGCTGCCTTCCCTTTTCACTATCTGTATCTGGTATCCTGGGCATTGCTTTTGGTGACAAACTCGTCAAAACCATGACATTCATCTTCACTGACACTTTCATCTGTGTTAGATCTATCATTTGGGAAGAGAAGAGTCCCAGATTTGCCGAGGAGTGAGATAATTCTTACCGCAAGGTATGGTAAACAAGGACTACTGAAATGGCATTCTCATGGTGCAATGCAAGTGTCCCAATTTTTTTTATACTGCACACACTGACCACACAGGCCTACCAGCTTTCTCCTGCTAGATTTGAAGTTGCTAAAATTTTGCACACACTGACCACACAGGCCTACCAGCTTTCTCCTGCTAGATTTGAAGTTGCTAAAATTTTGGCATATTAATACGTCATCAACGCTGGCTTGTAAGATGTATCTATTTGGCAATAACAGTGAAAGGGTTAATTACCTTAAAATATTTGTAGTCTTAATGTAGGGTGAGAGGTGTCCTATTTATTTATAGGAAGTAAGGTGTGGGAAGTATGGTAGCCAGCCAGGGCAGCCCACCCACATGTAAACAAACAGACGCATCTGCTTTTGGCTGATGCACATTCATTCCCATGTCTGTGAATCTTATACCATAATACAAACACTTTGTTGTGTACAAGCTGTCTCCATGTTGATACAGTAGAATAAATAAAGAGGAACACCCTCATTCTCATGTAACACCATTTTTAGAAGAAATGACGCTCTGAGTGAAGGCATACGAAAGTAATAATTTTTTAGTTACCCCCAGTAATTTTAGTTACCCCCAGTAATATTAGTGTACACGTTGTCTCTGATGTTGGACTAGAGAAAACATTATTCTTGCCGTCCCTCCTACAAGTCGCCTGGCTACCACATCTCATATTTATATTAATTTATTCTACTGTGGGGTGTATTTATCGTATTTATATGTTACGTAGCATGTTTATTATGTAATTTTGAAAAATATCAGATGGATTAATGGAAATGTCTATATTTACGTAATGTACGACATTTAATGCACCCAAGAGCGGAAGCAAATTGGTCCACTAACGGTTTCCAAAGTTAATGGAAACGCTAATCCTCTAAACAAAAAGTTAGTTCCGCTAATTAGTGGTTAGCGGAACTGTGCCCACCATTGTGGGATGATACATGTTACCAGTTATATAAGAGTTGAAGGAATGCTGGAAGAACAGGGACATAAGTGCATAAGGATAGGTATTGTTTGACTAGTAAATTGGTCTGGATTACATTAAGTAGATAAGATGCTTTTTAACAATATCTTTGAAGCAATTGTCAGGTAAGGATCTTTTAGAGACTTTAGGCAGGGACTTCCAGATTTTAGGGCTTTTTATGCACATTGAATTTCTACACAGGTTAAGTTAGACTTTGGGGATATCGAAGATGTTTTTGCGTCTTTTTGTGGCTGTCTAGGAAGAGTTTGAGGAGGGCTTGTATTGGAATTTATTGTCCTATGTATTTTTTTTTTTCCAACCAACCGGCCGTTTCCCACCGAGGCAGAGTGACCTAAAAAGAAAAACAAAAGTATCTCTTTTTAAATTTAGTAATGTATACAGGAGAAGGGATTAATAGCCCTTTGCTCGTGGCATTTTATTCGCCTCGTGGGACACGACTTACGGAGGAAGAAATCTTTTCCACTTCCCCATGGAGGTGAGAGGAAATAAAGAAGAACTATTAAGAAAATAGACGAAAACCCAGGTGTGTGTAGTATGACCTAAGTACAAGTAACAGGATATACCTGTTATCCCACATGTTTGAGACAAGAAACCAGCAGTCCTGCAAAACATTCACAGGTCTCCGCTTCACATTTGCTTGGCAGGAGGGTAGTATCTTCCTGGGTGGTTGCTGCCTACCAACCTACTACCTGGGTGTCCTATATATGTAGTAAGAGTACATGCTCCGTGTACTGAGCAATTTTAAACTTTTAAAGAGTGGATGAGTGTTTTCTAGCACTGGTTTGAGTAATCATTCATACAGCTGGTTTTTGTTGAATTTGATGATGTAGGTCCTCAGGCACAGATACCATAGGTGAGGTAAGGATAGATTAGTGAGTACATTACAATCTAAGTATAGCTGTTTGAGGTACACAGTAATACATCTCTGAGAGGATACCTACTGTTTTGGAGAGCTTTGTTTTAAACTAAATGTCTGTATTAAACTTCAAGTTGCATTCAAAGTGCTGACTTAAGAATTTTCTGCCTTACACTGGGAAACCGTTCATTATATTTAGTTGAACATTTGCAGCTCTGTACCCAAACACCATGTAGAATGTTTTGTCAGTATTAGGAGAAGGTTTATTAGTAGTCATCTATGTAGATATTTTTAGTTCCTCATTGACAGCATTGTTTAGAGAAGTCAGATTTGAGTGCAAGATCACAAAATTTGTCATCTGCAAGCAGAACAGGTTCAGGGAGACAAGATACATATTAAGGAGATTGTGTATGACAAAGAGTGAAGGATCAAGAACAAGGAATGTGTGGTGTGAGGGTTACTAGAAGTTTAATTCAGAGGGCTGAGGAGGGGTTGAGGTGGTTTGGGCATTTAGAGAATGTGGAACAGAATAGGATGACCAGATAACCATAAATCTGGGGTGGAAGAAGGTGATATTCATCCCAGGAATGGATGGATGGATGGATGGAGTAAAGGTTCTGAGTGTTAGGGGCTTGAACATTCAGCATTCTTGTGTGAACACATTAGATCAAAGTGGAGACAAGTGGTTTTTATGGCTTGAATGCTCTATGAAGGGATTTAAGGACTGAAGAAGGTAGGAAGTAATGATACCTGCACCTTGAGGAGGGGTGGGGATGATGCAGGTTCGGAGGATCGTCTGAACTGTAATGTCAGCAAACCTTCTCCACCCATCACATTCATTGTCTCTTGCAAGACATTGAATGAATGATAGTGAATTTATCTTCTTTTGTTCATCCCTACCTTGATGGGGTGGTTGGTGTATTAAAAAATGTTTTTAATTTTCCCTCCTACCCTTATTGTTTTCTTGCTGTTGCCTTTTCCTGTTGTATTCTCAGAGCCATCTCATTCATTTTTACTTACGTCTAATAATTTTCATCCTTTTATGTCCATTATTTCCTGACTTATAGGATTATATATCATATATAAAACTTATTCTCCATAGGTCACAAGAGATCACAGTCTGGGTCCTACATACCCTCTCGGCCTTGGGCAGGATTGTATCAGCATCGGCGCTCTCACTCCAGCTCAGGTTACCAGCATATTCCTGCTCCACCTGGACCAGCTCCACCTGGTATTCTTGCTACACAGCCTGGTCATCAGCGGCGAGCCAGCTCAGGCCAGCAGGTTACTTTCCGTGGTTTGGCTGAAGACCCAAATGACTTGACAGGAGTTAGAGTTGTTGTTCATGGACATGTAAGTCTTGCTGATGGAGAGGATATGGCAATCAAAGTTTAAGAATAGTAGAAAATATTTTTTCCCATTAATGATTATGACTATTGAATTAGTGCTTATATGAACTTGTAATGGCAAAGAAATATCACTATTTATTGATAATTTTTCAAAGAGGACTGATAATGGCATTTGTTACTTGTGAGTTATGAAAGTCAAATATTTTGCATCAAATGAAGCTATGACTTGTATTTCTTTAATGCTTCCAAGCAGTGGAGATTACCAAGACTTTTGCTTGTTGCCTTGCTAAAGCAACAGTGTCCCATGCTATATATTAACCCTGATGGCTGTGGGATGAGCATAATTACAGTTTTGTTGCAGGCTTACTATCAGAATGTATTCCATAAAATATTAATTGCTTGCAGTGTTTTATAGTTAGATTGATGTATACAAAATGATATAAAATTTTAGGGGCAATAACTCAAATTTCAAGTGAATCATGCTTGCATAGCTGATAGGAAAGACAAGTCTTGTACACATGTGATAGTTTACTTTCTGTATGAGAATTTTAAAAAACAATTAATAAATTGTTCTCATTCCAAACTTTTGTTTGGAAACACACCAGCAAAGGTTGTTTTATGTATATACAAATATCTAGTTTTTAGTTGTACATGAAAACTAAGTGCCTAAAAAGTAGCATGCCACTGGTACCGTTTCTGCTGAACCATTCTTGTGCTCAACTAAGCTTTAGTGAAAGTGAATGTTGGGGTGCTCGTGGTAAATCAAGAACCATGTATATGCAGGAAAAAAAAATTTCATTCTTGCATTTATTATTTTTAATCATCATCACTGTTGAAAATTATTTATTTTATTTCAGTGTACAGTATTAAAAGTGAGAGTGATATTAGTAAAGTTTATATTAGTAAAAAAAATTGTTAGTATTTTTTTTCCTTTGGAGAATTTAATGGATGTGCCATGTCACAATTGTTAAAAAAAAAAAAAAAAAAGATTGACATGGGTGTAGGCAGAAATTGTTTGCTTATGTTAATTTACATATTTTTATATGGAATTTTAAGTAGAATATTAATTTTTGTGAAGATCATTAAACCTAGGCCAAATGCACTAGAAGCACTATGGTGCAAGGGGAGTATTGACTGTTGACAACTAAAGATTCTACATAATACTAGTATATTTTGCATAGGTGTTGGCATATTACTTTTGATGGTTTATGTAGAGCTGGTCTCTTGCATCCAAACCTTCAATACTGCCTCACTGAATTTGTCTTGTCCCTAAGAATGCCATATAGTTTAAAATTAGGTAACCTTATAATGGCTCAATAAATGCTAATGCTGAGGCAATTGCTAGTAATCTATATACAAGATAGATGGTAGTGCTATCATAGCAAATGTTTTCCACTGGTGCTCCATTTTATAATTTTAACACATTCTCAGTGCCCAAAATATCTTTCACTGATTACATAGTTCTATTGTATTTTGTTGTAATGACTTCATTTTTTTTTTCCCTAATGCTACATCTATTTAAATTGAAATGTATCTCATGATTTAAAATATTTTTACATAGCAATCAAGCACTAATTACTTCATTAAACTTATTCCCCTTAGCATTAACTTAAGGCTTCTGTTTGGACTGCTATCACAAAGCTAGAGATGCTAGGGTAGGCATACAAAATACAGTACGTAAAATGTATGAAGATTGTATACATTGTTTTAGCATGTCAGGTGTAGAAGGGAAGGTTGAGGGGGGCAGGGTGAATAATGGTGATAAAGCAGGGAAATAAGTACAGAACAAATTTTCATGTCTTTAGATGAGAACTTGTGTAGGTAAGCTTCAAGAGTTATACTGTAATTGCAAATTATAGTCTATCCCTGCTTAAGTTATTCGTCAAATAATGACTTAAGATAACCCTCTAATTGACCCCTCTACCCCCTGAGTAATCATCATTTCCAGCTCTTATGATGACCTCATGCCAGGCAGCAAATGTCATTAATAAAAGGGATGTATGTGTACACTTGTTAGTTGGACAAAAGCATGTCACTATTTTCATTTCGTACTCTATATCTTTATTCCAGAAAACAACTAAAGAAAAAATTAATCTTTCTGATCAATCACAATTAAGATATTATGTAACATTCCACATTTATTGACCAAATTGTACAAAATAAAATCCAGTACACCTACACCAAATGCATTTACTAAAATGAAAACCGAGAATAATAATAAATGTGGGTAAGTGGGAAAGTTGTGGTGACTCGTGCAGTAGTAATATACCACCTGGTTGTGGTCGTATGTGCTTTACCAGCACTATCACACAGTCGCTTGACCTCTCTATCATATCTAATGCAGGATGTACATATGGTTGTGTGATGGTAAAATGCTATATTATCATTATTCCATTCACAGAAAAAAAAAAACATTGAATTTGATAATTTTCTAATGTCACAGTCTGCGATAATAAGTGTTTGAACATGAGTATCTATCGTCCTCCCACCCATCACGTGATCTCGACAAATATGAGTTAGACAAAAAGTTGAATGTTTGGTAATATTTTATCTCAAAAATATGTATAACAAACACATTAGTAATGTTAAGAAAAATGACTTGATCTCGTATTTTCAGTAGGAAGCCAATAGCATGAAGCAGTGTCAAGTATTGCCTCAAAAACTTAAAGGATCTTATTTTTGCTCTTATCTTCATTAGCAGTTATTGCAGTACATTAATTATTTGTTGTATCTGCAACTATCTTTGATAAGTGAAAGGAAGAGAAATTACCAGCAGAAATTACTGAAGGGCAGGCCACCCTCTCATCAGCCACCATCATTACAAGTGTAAGTTTGACATAATTCAAATGTGTATTATTGCTTTCTTATATTTACTAGAATGTGCTAAATTCTTAAATGTTTGCGAGTGAAATTGCTTAATTCCATAGTTTTTTGTGGCTGAAGTCAGTGGCATAGGAAATGTACAGACACTGGAATTAGGCTAGACCTAACAGTCACACCATGGAGTGTTTTTTTTTTTTTTTTTTGCTGCCTCATAGCTTTCTACATTGTGAAATGTATCTAACTATCTCTGATAAGTAACTACAAGGAAGAAAATGTACTAGAGAAAATTGCTGCACCTTTCAGCTGAGAGCTATTCTGGTAGGAGTGTGAGGAAATGGAAAAGGGGGAGGGGGAGGGTTATTTCAGGAAGAGATTAGGAGATATAAAAGGCAATATCTGTTAAGTAGAGTGCATAGTTATTAATTATTTTGAGATGCAATAAAATTTATAAGAATTAGATATGGAACATTTTAATCTTGAATTACAACATGGGTGTCTATAGGAAATACAGTTCACTTCAAGCATTTTTCTTCTTTGACAAAACTAGCTTTACGGAAGGTGCTTTGTTGCCAGTGATGAGCTTTTGATTCAAGGAATTGGACTAATTCTATTTTTTAGATTGAACCCGATTGTGCTGCTCCCCAAGAATGTAATAATAAACAAAACTGGTCTGGTCCCTGTCCAGGTCATTAAACAGGGGTTGATTGTCTATACAATATATACTTTTGCTGTACTGTACAGTGACACTCTTTGGCAGTCTGTTTAACATTAATGATAAACTCCATGAGAGTGGAAGCCAAGTGACCATATTAAATTGTTTTGGTCGGATGTGATAATCACAAATTACAGTACAAGTGACTATGCTGCTGTATTTGTGAATTCAGTAACTTATTACAAGTTAATGCAATTTTTTAATGACCTTAAATAACACTAGTAATGCTGTGTCATACAATTTGCAGAAAATGCCATCTGTTAAACTTGAACACAATATCAATGCTTTAGATTGCATTAATGACATTGGATCATTGATAATATTCGAAGCCCTTTGCAAGTAATTGAAGAAATCTGCACCAGCTTCATTAAAGGGTTGTAAATGGTTAGAAGATTTCATTTAATTTTTCATACTTTAATTTTTGCTGGAGTCCAGACTGTAATTCAATTTTGAACTGGTCATTTGTCAGTACAGTAAAAATTACAGATGGATTCACCAAAAAATGTAGTAATTAATTTAAAAAAGTTTAAAAAATGGTATTAAATCATGACTAACTCGTGGGCTACCAAAATGGTTTGTAATGTACTGTCCTTCATTTGCAGTTTGCATCATGCTCAATAGGAGGGAAGACACCATGTTTTTCATGAATAACTTCCCCCCCTCCCTAAATAAACCTCTTCAAGGGGGGCTCCTTGGCGTGGTGAAGAGGCTCTTGGTCTGAGGAATTAGCCCTGTCGGTCTTCTTCCTCAGACCGAACCTAATTACCCCCCATTCTCCCCTCCCCTATCCCATCCTCCCCATCCTCCCCTTTTTCCATTCCTCCTCCTCCTCCTCACCCCTCCCTTTTGCCCTTCCTCTTTTTAGCCTTCGTGATTTCTCCCACAGGCGCGCTAGTTCCTAGGTAGGGGAAAGGACACCGGGTCGATCCCCTTTCCCTTAGGTTTTTTGGCGGTGGCGTAGTTTTTCCGTGGGGCTGGATTGCCTAGGGATTCCCCATCCCTCCGTATCCCCGGGGTAGCTTTGGGTTCTTTTTGGGGGACGGGGGACTCTGAAGCCACCTTCGGATTCCGGGGGGGGGTGAGAGGAAAGTTCCCTTTGCTCTTGGTGTCAGTTTGTGATCTTTCGTCTTATTGCTTATTTCCCAGCACAACATGTTTGAGGCTCAGTGATCGACTCTACAGTCCCTCCTCTTGAAGGTTCATGTGAGAAAAAGGAGACGCTGTCTCATATATGACATTGAGCAATTCAGATTCAGGTAATGTAGAATTTATTTTAGTAAAGCAGAAACTGTTATAGTACCATAGGTATTTTTGTAGCTTTGTTATTTCTGTGAATGTATGCCATATTCTGTATAGCACTGTATAAAAAATGTTGTGGATAGTGTGAGTAAATGCGAATGTGAGTGTGCGAGTTTATTCTAAGGCCTGCTATTTTGCAATGTCAGGAATCATACAGTAAAGTATGTCATACCAAAACTTCCCCATGACATTAATTTATTTATTTAGGTTTTTGGAAATTCATAATTTTTATTTTTACAATGGGCCTTTAGGGCTAAGGTTATGGGCACAATCAAAAGTACTTTATAACTTCAATCTAAGGTATAACCCTGGTAAAAGTCAAACAAACATTTTATTACTATTGAATTGAATTTCACATGTCCTATTAACAGCTGCTTTAACCATTTCAACACATTCGGGGGGGGGGGGAGATCAACAAGTAATGACATCTACAATAAAAGTGTCAAAATTGTTATTATTTTTGAGAATTAAAGATCTAAAACATTTTCTCATTTTTTTGGGGACTGTTCGAGGAATGCAACCCAATTTTTCCAGTAGTTCCTACTCTCATGGTTTTTTTGGGGGGATGGGATGTCTAATGTCATCCATGGTTGTTTTAACATATTTATAGATAGGGATGTAAAGAAGTAAATGCTGGGGTTGTTGGGAGAGGGACGAGATTAAAGTGTGGGATGTCGAAAACCAGTAGGCCCTTCTTATAGGCAGTAAGTTCCAAGCTACTGCGGAGAGGAGGACACCCCTTTTTTTCCTCGCTTATAAAGCATATAATGCCAGATAAGAAGTTTACACTAACAATATTAAGTGTAGCAATAAAACTAGGCATTAAAAACAATAAAAATAGTGTACATTACAGGACACTCATTACTTACCTAAATATTGTACTCGTTGTGGTAGGGTGAGATGTGAGTTAAGTATTAGTGTAAAAAGTTCAGGTGTTTGGGAGGTATGGTAGCCCACCTGGCCCACCCCTACCTACATTTAAAACATTTAAAATGCGCCCCAAGGATTAAAATGCACATGCAGTACACCGTTATTTACCTTAACCCTAAAAATGGTCCAAGCAGATCTACGTTCACATGGAAGTGCTACGAAGTAGACTACGTTTTTTTAACATAATTTTCAAATTTAACAAAAAAAAACAAGATCTACTTTTTTTAACATACTTTCCAAATGTTGAAAAAACCGTATATATACGTTTGGAACCGTTTATGGCGTTAAAAATACAAGCTCTCCGTCACTTAACAACGGAGTTTCCGTTCCTAAGACCACGTCTGTATATGAGATTCGTCGCTAAGTGATGAGCATACTACGTGTATACATAATGGCAGTGGGTTTGTGTCAGTCATCTTTGATATTGTTTTTAGGTAAAATGCCTTTGCAACCAATTATACTATACTGGCATAATATTTAAAATGTTTTATACAGTAGTATACTGTATGTTGTAATAAACAGAATAGAGGAAATCAGCTCTGATATACATTATTTAGGTACACACACACTGGTCAAAGAGCTTGTCATAAGTCCGAGTTTGTTCGGTAAACAATTACACCGCTAAGTTAGGAGAGGCTGTATTATAGTCCTAAGGTTGGGTGAGAGGTGAGTGAGAAAAAGAGAAAAAATAATAAATTGAGAGAGAGAATTAGAGAGAGAGAATGGGAGATAGAGAGAGAATGAAAGAGAGAGAAAGATGAGAGGAGAGAAAGAGAGAGAGAGAGAATAGAGGAGAGAAATGAGAGATGAGAATTGAGAGAGAGAATGAGAGAGAGAGAGAATGAGAGAGAGAGAGAATGAGAGAAGAGAGAGAATGAGAGAGAGAGGAGCATGAGAGAGAGAGAGAATGAGAGAGAGAGAGAATGAGAGAGAGAGAGAATGAAGAGAGAGAGAATGAGATAGAGGAGAAATGAGAGAGAGAGAGAATGAGTGAGAGAGAGAATGAGAGAGAGAGAGAATGAGAGAGAGAGAGAATGAGAGCGAGAGAGAATGAGAGAGAGAGAGATTGGAGAGAGAGAGAATGAGAGAGAGACTGAGAATGAGAGAGGAAGAGAGAATGAGAGAGAGAGAGAGAATGAGAGAGAGAGTGAGATGAAGAGAGAGAGAAAGAGAGAGAGAGAGAAAGAGAGAGAGAATGAGAGAGAGAGAGAATGGAAGAGAGAGAGAGAATGAGTAGAGAGAGAGAATGAGAGAGAGAGATGAGAATGAGAGAGAGAAGAAGAGAGAGAATGCAGACCACAAGCAGCACCTCCTAACTCGCATCAATTCATCACAGCTAGTACAGTGTAAATGGCCTTCTCGTATGGAAAGAGGCAAATGTAGTCCTGTTCACAAAAAAAAGAAGCAGAGCAGAAACAGCAACCTACAAGACCAGTGTCCACCCTGTCAAGTCACTTGGTAGATTCGCTTAACAATAATCTCAAGACAATGAAAAGTTTTTGGACTACCACTCACTACTTTGTGATCGTCAATAGGCTTCAGGAAAGGTGTACTCTGGCTCTGATCTGTTGTTAAACCTCTCCACTAAGTGCATCCAGTCACTGATGAATCCAAATTCAGCTGTGTGGTACGCACTGGACATGCTGGGCGCTTTCGACCGGTTGTGCACCAGTGGGCTTCATAGCAAAACTGTCCAGCACGTGGGAATTGCAAGCTCTACGCTATGTGTCTCCTCAGTGATTACCATCATGGTGATCTCAAAAGAGTAGTTCTCAATGAACGGGAATCAGCAAGACATCCTATTTGGGGCAATGTTTCCATGAGGAAGCGTGCCTGGGTCCATTGTTATGGGAAAGTCTACTTACAGCACCTTCTCATCTCATCCCAGAATCACATGCATCAGCAGACGACTGTACACTGACATTCACTATCCAAGAGAAGAAATGCCACTGCGCTAAGCTACATCAGATCACCGAGCTGAGAGCTATATCAGCTCTGGGAAATATATGGCAAGTAACATTTGCACCTGAGAAAACGCAAATGATGATAGTCTCTAGTCACCATGATGGAGTATGCTGGTGCAGTATTAATATGAATGGGAGGGTGTTGGCAACCTGAGAAGAAGTTGTATATACCTTGGGTGTGAAATTGACTCCAAAACTAATCATGAAGAACCATGTTGTAAATATAGCAAACAATGCAGCCAGTAAGCTTACAGCACTGATTTTACGCTGTATCTCAGCATCTGCTTGACATAGGAGTTGCAATGTTCCCTGTACGAGGCGCAAGTACGCACACGAGAAACCCTTGAGTATGCTCCACTTTCTTGGTTGCCTGCCCCCCCTCTCATTCTGCGACTGCTTGACGAGTAGAGAACAGAGCAAGACGTCTCATCTCTCGCCTGGACCCAACCTGGATATATTCTTCATTTCAGAAGAGCCTTCACATAGGAGGGATGTGGTGGCCTTACAAGGCCAAAACAGTCCAAAATACCCACACTTGGTATCCACTTCGAGAGCAGCGAGAAACAATCTTTTATGCCACAAGAAAGGTCAGAAAGCAGCAACTTCACTCTGGTGCTGAACCCATCTGTCCAGAACAACACTACCATCTGAGATCATACAAACCCAGGAATGACCACGAGTATGTGTGAACACATTCGTACAGCATAATGATGACATGTAGATAGTTGTCAAATGAAAATGCTTGCCCACAGATGGTCTCCAACTTCATCCCTGTTCCCCTACTTGTATGTCTCTTAACAATAAAAAGATTTCAAATGAGCGATGTAGTGAACCGCTCTTAGCTTGCCAATAAATATTAGGAATCCTTAACGCAGTAAATATCTTGTGTCAATAAAGCTAAGTATCTTAACCTTTCAAAACCCCGATTTAACAAAAAAAAAAAAAAAAAAAAAAAAAAAGAATGAGAGAGAGGAGAGAGGACAGACGCAGAACCTGTAACAATCAGACCTACCCATCTGTGCTTATGGTTTACACATATCCATTCAATGTTCGGGAAGCTTATATCATAAATACCAAACACCTTACATTGTGTACAAGTTGTACTCCCACGTAGTACAGTAGAAAAATAATGAGCAACAATCCCAGTCTCGGGTAACACCATTTTAAGAAGGAATTATGCTCCTAGTGAAGGCAAACAAAAGAATGATTTTCTACAGTATCCATCCCTAGTAGTTATAACAATTGTGTACACATTTTCTTGGTGTTTAACTAGAGAAATGTTATTCTTCCAACACTTCCAGCAAGCCAACTGGAAAAAATCTCAACATTCATCATGTGTTTATATTTTTCCATATGTGTTATTATATAATTTTTGAAAAAAATATCATAGGTGGAATTAATGAATGTCTATATTAATGTAATAAATTACCATTTGGTCGTTGGGAGACCCATGATGGCGTGAATTGATGGTGAAAGTGACTATTTTTGGGCCATCGTTGTTAAAAAAAAAAAAAAAAAAAATTGACGAAGGGGAAAAAGGAGTCTGTGGTAGACAAAGAACTATTGTCAAGAAAGCAAGAGGAATGTATAAGAGTCTAGTTATACCAGTGCTTCTTATATAGTGCATGAATGAATGGGTGTGTGAATGTTGCAACAAGATCCTGGAGGCAGTTGTGGTAGAATGTCACGTCTGAAGGCAGTGAGTGTGTGAATATAATGCAGAG